CTGTGTTGGGGTGGACGGCCTTCCAAGGCAAAGTCCCCTGTCCACCCCACTGCGGGTTGGTAACTGCCACAACTTGCTTGCTCGCTTTGTGGTATCTTCCACATGCCCCATTAACCTGTTAGGAGCTGATGTTCTTTCACGCCTGCAGGCATCTATCACCTTTACTCCAGATGGACAAGTGGAGCTATCCACCCCTCTGTCTCAGACACCTCAGCTTTGTGCTCCTTACCCCTGATGCTACACCTAGAAGAGCCTCATGGGGATGCTAAAGACCTAAGGACTAATTTCCCTGATTCACTAAAGACTGATGTTCCCAAGAACCTGTGGTCCACAGGCCCAGAGGACATAGGCCATCTAAAGGTCCCACCTGTGGTGGTAAAGCTCATCCCAGGAGCGAAATTGCCACGAAAGTCACAGTATCCTTTGAAACCAGCTCAAGCTGCAGCCATTACAATTCAGATTCAAGCACTCCTGGAGAAGGGTGCTCTTGTCAAATGTGAATCACCATGCAATACTTCATTATTTCCTGTAAAGAGAAAGACTCCAAAAGGCGGACCAGAAAAGTACAGATTGGTCCAAGACCTCAGAGCGTTAAATGAAGCCACAGTTTTGGCCACTCCAATAGTGCCCAACCCACACACTCTCCTTTCCGGCGTTCCACCCTCTGCTAAGTACTTCACAGTCATTGATCTGGCCAATGCCTTCTTCAGTGTTCCCCTGGATCCAACTTGCCAATATCTGTTTGCTTTCACACATGAAAAACAACAGTACACATGGACTGTCATGCCCCAAGGGGCACAAAATTCACCAAGTCAATTTGCGAAGGCCATGTGCTCTATCCTTGATCCATGGCAATCTGACCATCCTGAGGTCGTCCTGCTTCAATATGTGCATGATTTGCTGCTTTGTGGAGATGACCTACCCACAACAGAACAATGCTCAATTAATCTTCTTTGCTACCTAGCAGAACAAGGATGTAAAGCTTCACGTCTCAAGCTGCAATTCTGCCAACCTACTGTTATCTTCCTTGGCCATTGTCTGTCTCAGGGAACCAGACATCTCACCCGTGACCGAGTTAGAGCAGTTCTGGACATTCCACCTCCAAGGACCTCGAAGTCACTACACGCCTTCCTAGGCCTCATTTCCTATTGCCGAGCATGGATCCCAGAAGCCTCGCTCCTTATGCAACCTCTCTATGATGCTCTCAAGTCAGACCCATTTTGCTTGTCCACAGAAGCCCTTGACAACTTCTGTACTCTTAAACGTGCTATTGCTTCTGCTCCTGCTCTTGGCCTACCAGACTATACCAAACCCTTCAAATTGTTTGTTTCTGAAAGACAAGGCCATGCAACAGGAGTACTCACTCAGGCCCATGGTCCTGGAGGTCGCCAAAGGCCTATTGGATTTTTCTCCTGCCAACTGGATATTGTGGCCAGAGGACGTCCCACTTGCCTTCGGGCCGTCTTTGCTGCCAAAGAGCTCATTGAAAGAACTGGAGATCTTGTCCTTGGCCACCCCCTGGTTGTCTTGGCCCCTCATGACATTTCTGCCATAGTCAACCAGGTCCAACTTAAGCATGTTACTCCTGCTAGGCATCTTCGCCTTCAATGTCATCCTTTGTTGCCTGACAACATTACCCTTCAAAGATGTCAAGTTCTCAATCCGTCCACTCTTCTGCCACTCCCTGAGGGGGGTGTATACTACGGATTCATCATGGACGAAACTTATGTTTTTCTTCTCACTGGCACCATCAAGAAGGAAATGCATCCCAACCTATCCTTTCATGATGGACAAGCACTCCTTCATGACGGAGCAGGATATGCCTTCTGTACCATGTGGTACAAACCAAACATCACTCCTGAACCCTGCTATGAAGATGAACTCTATCATCTGGTCGAAGTAAAACTCACTGCACAAGACTTGTACTGTGATTCTGAAGGCAACAGTATGGTCTTGATTCATCTACCTCCGGAACTCAAGTATTTGTACCGTCATTGGGACACTGCCATTCCACATGTCCCTGTGACCAAGTTGAAAACAATATCATGGAATGATCTTGGGCCTATGGCAAAAGCATGGGCCACTATGGACGAATCACAGCTACAGGAAAATGGTGTTGTCAAATATCCAACAACTGACCACCTAAAAGCATGGCCACGTCATTTCCTGGAAAATGAGTTCCAAGATTTAACCATAGTGAATGACTACGACCCAAATACACCTCATGACTGTTTTGAACAGATGAAAATGGAAACAACACATCTACCAACTGTGCATGAAGACCCATTGGTAGATCCCGATCTCACCCTGTTTGTGGACGGCTCAAGATATGCTGATGAAGAAGGAAGATACCATACAGGATATGCCGTAACCACAACAGATGAAATTGTCAAATCATCATCTTTACCATCAACTATGTCTGCACAAGAAGCTGAATTGCAAGCCCTGACTTCAGCATGCAAGATCTCTGAAGGAAAGCGCGCCAATATCTACACGGATTCAAGATATGCACTGGGCGTGGCTCACGACTTCGGATTAATTTGGAAAACAAGAGGATTTCTTACCACCGCCGGTACACCAATCAAGCACGGTTCCGCAATCAAGGAGCTGATGGACGCCCTCCTACTCCCAGAAGAAGTGGCTATTTTGAAGATAAAGGCACATGGGAAGTTGGACTCAGATGAAGCAAAGGGCAACCATCTAGCTGATCAGGCTGCAAAACAAGCTGCAAGAGAACCACAGGAAGTGGAAAGAAGAGTGTCCAGAAATGAAGAAACTCCCATATTTACTCTGCAGACTCTTCCAACTGACCTGAAAATCTTGGGGGAACAACAGGCTACAGTTGCCCCTGAAGAAATACAGAAGTGGAAACAGAAAGGGGCAGTTCTAAGAGATGGAGTGTATTACAACAATCTCAGATTCTGCCTTCCTAAGAATTTGTACCCAGCAGTCGTACAATGGGCACACGGACCTGCACATTTATCAAAGGATCTAATGAATGCTCTTGTACAAAAATACTACCTCACTGTCCCCATATGAGATTCTATTTGGGACTGCACCTAGGCTAGGTTGCTATTTTCCCCAACAACTACAACTTCAAACTGATGTTTTAGTAGATTATGTAACTGAACCCGCAAATGCTTTAAACAAAATCCATGCCCAAGTTTTCTCTTCAATTCCAGATCCTGGTTCTGACACAGGCAACCACAGTCTGCTCCCCGGTGACTGGGTTCTGGTCAAGAAATTTGTGCGAAAACACACCCTGGAACCAAGATTTGACGGACCGTTCCAAGTTCTCCTGATCTCCCCTACCTCTGTCAAATTGGCCGGAAGGCCTAACTGGATCCACGCTTCCCATTGCAAGAAGACACCTGCCCCAGAGGAAGCTAACTCTATGCAACCATGTGCCTCTGGTACATTATCTCCTTAGTTGGCCTCCTTAAAGCCCAACAGGTGGCCATCACCAAAGATGATAGTGGGTACACTTTCTGGTATAATTCATCATGTACCCATGTGGCTACATTCACTTTTGATTACTGTGATATTGTAGAATGCCCATTCCCTAAGTCACAGATTCAAGCCATTTATAAAGATATACCACGAGCAAAAGACCCTTACGTTTGTGTAGTAGATGAACAATGGGGTTATGACTGTAACTACTGGGGGGCTGCGGGATGGAATACTGGGCCTGCCTGGGGTTATAAACCCAAAAGTGCTTTATCTAAGATAGACAATCAGGGTAGATCCCTCCTTCAAAGAATGACTTTAAGAAAGCCTTGAGGAAGTACCCCTATGAAATTAATGTTAAATATTGAACATCCTGGCCCCGAGGATGCAGACCGATATGTAATGGGAATGTATTGGAAGAAAGGTTCCTACAACAAATTAGGTCATTTCTACCTCAGAGATATGTACCACTCTCCAGAGTGGCAAGGGGCTGATCATATGGTCCCAAATCCGCTAAAACCACATATCCAGTCCTTTAAAGATATGATGGCCATCGCTAACCCCACTTTTGAAGATACCATGGCCGCTGAAACTGGATTCAATGACATTAATTTGTGGTTAGAGTGGATGAAATTTAATGCTAATAAACATAACAAAACCATGCATGCGGTGGTACTCGACCTCATCTTGGCACCGTTCCTCTAACTCTCCCTTTGGAGATAGAGACTTGCTTCCTTAGTCTTTTTTCCTACCGCTATAATTTCAACAGATCCCTCTGCATGGCATGGACGGCAGAATACCCTCTCTTAGTTGAAAATGTTAAGCCACCTGATGGAATCACAGTCTATAGAGGTAATTACACTTGTTATGCCATGTATGACGGGATTGGTAAATTCATGGGTAATTTTTCTAAAGGTTATTGCGCCACTTACAGAACTGTTCCTATACGCCTGTTGCAACACCATACCAGGTCATTGGGGGATATTTACTGGTTATGTGGGGATCTACAGTTAAGATCTAGGCTGGAAACTGAGTGGTGGGGTGAGTGTACCCTAGCCAAAGTTATTATGCCCATTCATATTATTTCTGATAATCATCATGACACATGCGACCCTCCATATACACCAGCCAGAGTGAGGCACGAAACCCCAGTAAAAGGCAGTTTTGACCCCCACATTCACATAGATGCCATTGGGGTACCTAGGGGGGTGCCTAGTGAATTTAAAGCTAGAGATGAAGTAGCTGTAGGTTTTGAATCACTGTTCACTATAGTCACTGCCAACAAAAACCTTAATTGGATTAACTACATTTATTACAACCAACAGCGTTTTATCAACTACACCAGGGATGCCCTCCAGGGCCTGGCCGAGCAGTTGCAGGCCACATCCCAGATGACCTTCCAGAACAGAATGGCCTTAGACATGATTCTAGCTGAAAAGGGGGGTGTATGTAAAATACTACCTGACACCATGACTTGTTGCACTTATATCCCAGAAAACACAGGTCCAAATGGTAAAGTCACTCTGGCCATAGCTAAATTAAATAGACTCTCAGAAGAGTTAAAGAGAAACTCTGGAGTTACTGATCCCTGGGAAAAATGGTTTGGTTGGATGACTGGTTGGCAGAGAGCTTTAGTCCAGATTGGTATTGCCTTACTAATTTTTCTTTTTATTCTCGCTCTTCTCATTTGTTGTGTCCTCCCATGCCTAAGGAAATTCCTGCAGAAAACTGTAGACCAAGCAACACCAACCTTCACTCATCTGACAATCGATGATCAAGATCTCACATCACCCTGTATTCCGCTACAAACTCTCCCTTATACTGATGAAGTGCAGAAAGTCTAGGAAGGGACAGTACAGGGACAGCGTCCGTCTTTATGGGTAGACTGCCGTACGGAGAAGTAGTGGATAAGCCACTATGGGTTACCAGCGGAGTGAAGAGTGTTCCTGAACCGTACTGACGGATGTGCTGCAGCCTGTTAGGGTCAAGAGAGGGATAGACTTGCACTTTGCATTAACACTAAGTCAGCGGTCATGGGGTTTCTGTGTCTTTGGGCTAACACATCTTCTGATACTAACAAATAAAGTTTATCTTTTAGTAACTAACATTTTAAGGGGGACTGTTGTAGAATTATAGAATTCTTGAAATTATCTAAGCTAATGCTTTGTCAGGAAGAAATGTGCTGAATAATAAAATGTGTATTTACTAAAAGAACCTTGAAGCTAACAATACTAACTACTCAAAATGGCTGCCAAAGCACCCCTCCCATCGAGTGAACACCTCGTGCTAACAAGATGGCGCCTACATCTTGTGTCCACTCCCGTGTCAAGGATGACATCACCTCTTGATAGGAGGGTACCTAACTAACCACTTAACACCTGGACCAATCAATAGTGTCTATTTGCTGTTATCTTGAATTCTTCAGTGATGTAATAATGCCTTTAAAAGGGTCTGCGCACCCATTTTCTGTCAGAAGCCATTAAACTTCTCCGAAGTTCTTTCATTAACCTGAACTTTGTGTCTCAGTGTGAATTTACTTCTGCGTGCACGCAACTTTATCTTTAATTTGGACAGGAACAGATAGTCATTCAAACTAATTGGTTTGCAGTAAATTATCTACAACAATCTAAGTATATATATACACATATACATACAAACACATACACTGTCTAGGTGTATTTTACTATTAATATATATATATATATATTTATATATATATATATTAATATCAAATTACACGTAGACTGATATTGATTAAATATATATATATAATTATTGTTATATATATTTATATATAATATAAAAAAATTAAATATGTAAATACGTTAAAAAATAAAATAAAAAAATAAAAAAATAATTACAAAATATATAGATGTGTTATTTCGTTCTAACTGTATTGTGATATTAATATATATATATATATATATATATATATATATATATATATATATTGTGACAAAAGTACTCCTTTCCCTTGGTACCTTGTCCTGGGATTGGGGTGTTACACACAGTCTTTTCAGGCTTTAGAGACACTTCACACGCTGGATGAGGTAAACTGACTTGCTCTTTTATTGAGGTTCCAAAATAAATGCACAGTAAGGTATAAAGGTAACAAAAATATATCAAACAAAAGCCTTGCTCTTCTGAGCACTAACTAAACAAAATAATCAGCTAACTGGGTTGGATGGCTTGTCCATTTCCCAACATAAACATAAACATAAACATAAACATAAACATAAACATAAACATAAACATAAACATAAACAGCCTTACTGCTTCAGGGTTTTCAGCTCTCTGTTTCCACTCACAGAAACCAAACACAATCTCCCTTCTTCCTTGGCAGGGGAGTACTTAATAGCACTGGTAATTGACAATCCTTTTCAGGTGAGTTAGATTAGGATTCAAACTCCAGAACTGGACTTCTCACCAAGTAACTTCCAAAATGTGGAGTGGAGCACTGGCCCACCCTACTCTCCAGGTGCTCCACCCCAGGGCCCAAATATACACATATTTAAAGTGCAACATTCATTAGAACATAACACATTTCCCTGGGGCTAATTACACAAAGTAAGAACCTTGCAAAATCTGGGGAGGTATATAAGTTCCTTCCAGCACAATTCCTTGCTTTCTGTCACAATATATATATATTTATATCAAAATACATGTAGAACGAAATATATATATCTATATACATAAATATATACGTATATATATTCACATACTTATATATATATATATATATATACATATATTAATTCTACATATATATTTATGTAATATTTTTATATAATTAGGTATCTTAATTAATTACAATTAGCGGGACCTGCCTGACAACCCATGCCGAAAGTAAAGGGAATTTAATTTGCTAGCACTATATTTAACCCTATAACTTTCCAAGACACCATAAAATCTGTACATGGGGGGTACTGTTGTACTCTGGAGACTTCGCTGAACACAAGTATTAGTGTTTCAAAACAGTAAAATGTATTACAACGATGATATCGCCAGTAAAAGTGAAGTTTTTTGCATTTTTCACGCACAAACAGCACTTACACGGAAGATATTATTGCTGCGATACTTTTTACTGTTTTGAAACACAATTATTTGTGTTCAGCGAAGTCTCCCGAGTACAACAGTACCCCTCATGTACAGGTTTTATGGTGTTTTCAAAAGTTACAGCGTCAAATATAAGGCTTGTGTTTCATTTTTTTCACATTAAAATTCGCCAGATTGGTTACGTTGCCTTTGAGACCCTATGGTAGCCCAAGAATGAAAATTACCCCTATGATGGCATACCATTTGCAATAGTAGACAACCCAAGGTATTGCAAACGGGGTATGTCCAGTCTTTTTTAGTAGCCACTTAGTCACAAACACTGGCCAAAATTGGCATTTTTTGCATTTTTCACACACAAACAAATATTAACGCTAACTTTGGCCAGTGTTTGTGACCAAATGGCTACTAAAAAAGACTGGACATACCCCATTTGCAATACCATGGGTTGTCTACTATTGCAAATGATATGCCATTACGGGTGTAAATTTCTTTCCTGGGCTACTATAAAGTCCCAAAGGCAACGTAACCAATCTGACTGCTTTTATTGCAGTAAAAGCAAACAGTATTATGACATTGACCGTTAAAATGTCATGTAGAACTAAAAAAAATTAAAAAATCTTATTTTCTCCCATTTTTTTCATATTAAATTATGTTTCATAGCTAAATATTTGATATTAAATGAAAGCCCTGTTTCCCCTGAATAAAATGATATATAATAAGGGTGGGTGTATTTAATATGAAATAGGTGAATTACAGTTGGACAGACATGTAGCGCAAATGCCAGGTTTTGTTTACATTTTGTTTTGTTCACAACGTGTACATTTGGCTCCGTCCTTAAGGGGTTAAGTCAATGCATATTAATAATAACTCCTTACAGACCATTTATATTCTTTACCTTTAACTCACTATGTGACCTAAATATATAAAGTCACCTTGGAAATTATTTTGTATTGAGAACAGCAACTCTTTAATGCCACTATCATTAAATGTGCAGGACATTGCATTCTGGAATAGGACCATTAATGACCAGATTGGTATGATGAGCCAGACATTGCATTATGGGATAGGATCATTAAAGACCAGATTACTATAATGAGCAGCACATTGCATTCTAAAATGGGATAATTAAAGACCAGATTGGTAGGATGAGCAGGATATATCACTCTAGAATGGGATCATTAAAGACCAGATTGACATGATGAGCCGGACACTGCATTTTGGAATAGGATCATTAAAGACGAGATTACTATGATGAGCTGGACATTGCATTTTGGAATTGGATCATTTAAAAACAGACTGGTATGATTAGCAGGATGTTGCATTCAAGAATGGGATAATTTTAGACCAGATTGGTATGATGAGCAGGACATTGCATTCTAGAATGGGATCATTGTAGAGCAGATTGGTATGATGAGAAGAACATTGCATTCTAGAATGGGATCATTAAGACCAGATTGGTATGATGAGAAGATGAGAAGAACATTGCATTCTAGAATGGGATCATTAAGACCAGATTGGTATGATGAGTACGACATTGCATTCTAGAATGGGATCATTAAAGACCAGAATGGTAGGATAAGCAGTACATTGAATTCTAGAATTGGATCATTAGAGACCGGATTGGTATGATGAGCTGGACATTGCATTCTGGAATGGGATCATTAAAGACAAGATTGGTATGATGAGCCAGACATTGCATTCTGGAATTGGATCATTAAAAACCAGATTGGTATGATAAGCAGGACATTGCATTCTGAAATGGGATCATTAAAGACCAGATTGGTATGATAAGCAGGACATTGCATTCTGGAATGGGATCATTAAAGACCAGATGGAATGATGAGCCATACATTGCATTATGGAATAGGATCATTAAAGACCAGATTGGAATCATGAGCAGGACATTGCATTCTGAAATGGGATAATTAAAGACCAGGTTAATATGACAATGTAGAAAGCTGCTTTCCCTGAGAGGTTAAACTAAACATTTGATCATTAAAATAAGGTGTTAAGGAATTGGATTGAAACAACCCCCTTCCCCCTGTTATTTGAAACATATAATTTCCTTAAGTGTTCAATATATTATTGATGCTCAATGGGCTAGTTATGTGTTTAGACATAGAAGATAAGTGCAGGTAGAGGGAATAAATATGAACATTCCACATGGCATGCAGGCAATCATTCTTTAATGCCTCGGATGACACTTATCATCCGTTTACTGCCACTACAGGGTGCTTTTCATATATTGGCCTTTGAATTTGATGGGAGAAAACACCATAAAATTATTCTACTAGGAGAGAATGTTATAAAGTATCCTTCATTGCAACAATTCACAGAAAGTAAAAATGGACAGTTCCCAGTGTGTTGGATGGCACAGTGTCCAAGAAACATTGCAGGTGTAAAGATTTGTGCATTAAATTAAACAGCAGCCGTGTGTCATCATATTTCCTATGCTATGATTCTGCTAGCGTAGAGCTCTGTGCTTGCTGAACACGAATAGGCCAATTACCAATATTGGAATGCTTGCAGCCACCCAGAGAATAATGAAAGTGAAAACATATAGAAAAATTGATACTTTGTCCTCATAACAGATTCTGTGAAGAAACCATAAAACTTTTCCCATATCGGTCTTTGAATGACAGGTATATGAACATAAGAGAAATACATTTTACCGACTGAAAATAATTTGTACTACGTACATTTTTAATTGCTATTCACATCATAGTATCTACTTTTTATTAAATAGAAAAGAAAGCTGAAACTAGTTATTGCACGTCAGGGAACCAGTAAATGTTTCTATGTAAGTAAAATCTTTATAATGTAAATATAATATAATGAACTGTTAATATTCCATTGACTTCTATGGTGAATGCTCAATTTTTAGAACTTGTCCCCACAATTAGTCCTTATGTTTGTGTGTTTGCACACGTGCTTGTTGTTCTGCATTCTCAGATGTAAGCTGGCTAATTTTATTGCATTCGTAACCCACTGTGTCAGTC